GGCTTCCAAATTCTAATTTGAGAATACTTTTACACAAATTTCAAGTTGTCTCAAATTTTCTTATAGTGAAACATGCCCAAACATGGCTACAAAGCTGTTTGGTAAAACCAGTTTGGTAAAAAGCAGTTTGTTTGGTGCCAAACTGATTAGTGCGACATTAAACATTACCTACATTACCTGTTTTTTCTTTATTGAGCATGCCATTTAGCAAGGAGCTCAGTATCTTCTGTTATGCAGTACACAATGTTGAGGTAGTCAACAATGGATGGCATTTTTTAATGAGATACAATACCTTAACATAATCAATGATGGGGAGCTCTTCAAGTTTAAAACAAACATATCCCATTCTTCATCAATATTCCACTGGACGTTCACACCCAATTTGTCCGAAACACCCAGAAAAAGAATCAATACAACTTCAAATGGTAAAATGGTATTAATAACGTCGAGGTCATTCATAACTACTACCATAAATCATACAACCCCAAGATAACTAAAATCTCAGTAGTGTTAACATGTGTCTGAGGTTTAATCTCCAATCCTATTGAACTGCTTTTATTTTGACTATTACACACGTGCATTAGCAGGATATACTGTATGTAGTCCTCCAGGACTAGGAAGCCATGTCATAGACTAAACATAACTAGCCATGTAGATAGACCTTTTCTAAAAACAGTGCCCCAAACATTAAAAAAGATATTCATTTCTTGACATTTTTGTCATTATTTATATGCACCATTTTCCTAATTAATTAGTAATATGTTGTAATCAAGATAAAAAAATCACGGATTTAGCTGGGCCTACATTCACCAAATGAACAAAAAAATAGCCTGCCACTGTCAACCTCTTCTTGACCTCAACGGACATCTACTCGCTAGCATTTGTCCTTTCACATTGTCCTTCCCCCACAAGTCAGCGGTACTTCTGATATGCGAGAACACCTGACTTCATCAGTTCATGAATTTCCCTGGAGAACTCTAAGACACAAGACTCACAATGAACATCTGCCCGTGTGACAGATAAGAAAGGATCACTGTTTCAGTTCCACCTACTTCAACTGAACTCTTGCTTGCATTAGTTCCTACGATAATGCTTTCCAAAATTGCTCAAGTAAAAAAACAAAGCACACTTTTTTAATGTGATCACGGTACTCTCCAATTAGACAGGTAATGTCTATAAAATTATCAGGTAATGAATAAAATCCCAAACCCTCCTAAGTTTCTTCCCAAGAGCTAGACCCTGAGCTCAGAATACACAAAAGTCTTTTGTCAACCTACAGTATCTTGCGTGATCATAAGAAGGAAGAAAAAGAACAGAGTTGCAGCATAAACAACTGTTTTCCACCTGATTGTAAGGATGTATTTTCACTGTGGTAATATCTTAGAAAACCTAAATACCGTCAACTGTGCAATAGAAATGTTTTGTTCTGAAGAAAAACGCAAAAGCACACACGAGTTATTGCTCTTTTTCAGTGGTGGTGAGATCTCTTATCCTATACAATATTTCATGCTAATCTATACAATATTTCTTGTTGGTGTGAGTTAATGTTTTTAAATGTAAGATCCAAGCTTTGTCGAAATTGTATACATCTACGACTGCCTCCCATAACCAATTACTGAGGGTCTAGAGATAAAACTAAAAACAATCTACATGTTGTTTCACGATAACTTGCAAAGGTTGTTTAGGGGCATAAGGTAGAGTAATAAACATTAAAAAACTGGGGAATGTACCATATTTTCAGCTGAATTCTGACGTAAAATGTCAGAATAGGTATCCTGAAACTTTCATGAAAACTTATTTACACATTATAAATGACTGTACTAACACCCTATTATTTGAGCTGTAATTAAATATCCTAAATTGGTTGATATGTTTAAATAAATGAATTTCCAATATGCTATGCACAATAAACATTTTACAGATGCTAAAACACTTCCGAGGGCAAACACACAATTTGAGATTTGTTTCAAACAGTAAAGTACACCCATATGTCAAAATAACTATGGTAACTATTGACAACTCAGCTACCCGTGTTTATAACAGATTAGTGGCAGGACTAATGACAAAAAGATGAGAAACCAAGAAATGCTGTTGCTGTATTAGAATGCTGGCTTCTAAAATATACCGTATAGTCTTTGGTTGGCAATGACTATCCAGTGTATATATTGCTAATGCTTGGTGTGTGTTTTGATAGATTGTTCCCCTGGCGGATTCGGTTTGTCTCAATAAACCCTAGAAGGGCACTTTCACAGTGAACAAGCCATTCAAAAAGCCCTTGAAACTTAATGACAATGAGCCATTCTTTAAATTCAGTGATAGAGTCATAATGTAAATATTTAGTTCATGGCTGTGTTGAAATTAAACTTCAGTACTACATACAGTACCATACATGGGCTACTATATAATAGATTACAATCTATGATTGATTGGGTTATTTATTTGTTAGTTCTTGTGAAGCTATGTGAGATGACAACGCCATACTTCTTCAAAATCTTTTTATTTTGTTACTGCAACTTTACTGTCCAATGCTGTAAGTCAACCGCCAAGAGACTCCACCACTTAACCTACAGGAATCTACTCCTAACAAACTACAGAAACCTACCACTTACTGTATATGTGAAGCCTTGGTACAGGAGGAGAGACTAAAATTATTTTATTTGTTTTGATCTCTTTAATCAGCACAGGTTTACTGTATCAAAAAGCAATTCCGTTCCTTGTGTCATACCAGTGATAAAGTGAATAAAGTAATGGAATTTCTTTTTATAAGAAAAAACTGTAATTATGATAAAGGGCTTCCAGTTGTTTCTTTATCACAAAGCAAAGCCTTTTTGCATTTGAAATTCAGCCTGACATTGATAAACCCATATGGTTAACAGTACAGTGCTTTATCACTGTCAAGGAGCTCCATTTCCTTAACTGAATAGTCTCTTTTGCACAGTTAAAAAATGATTTTAGGTGTCATATTAATGTGTTTCATAACTGCCTTATACATTACTTCTCTGTGAAAGTCAGAATCCTACTATATGACGTCTGAAGCCATGTTCAAAAGTGGAAAACCTTCATTTATAATAATATCTAATGCACCGTACATCACTTCCATTGTCTGCATTAATTATATTATAATAATCACTACCATCATCATAATTAAAGAAATATAATCCACAAACCAAAAAGTAACAGTAGCTTGGTCACAAAGCAGAGCAGTGAATAAGTCAATAAAAGTCAACTACACATTGTATAACAGCACACTACCACACTACCCATGCAAGTGCCTGCACAGTGACACAAAGAAAACTTCCTGTACCCCAGGGACCTACACTCCTGGTTTCCACAGTATTGACTGGGTTTCATTCCAGCTGAGATATCAAAGGCTTCTCTGAGCCAATTACTATCTTAATTAGTACAAGTGAACATGCCTACAGGTCTTTAATCACTGACAATTAAAAGCTATGGTACCGTGGCGTCCAGGACAGAAATCTGTCTTTATTGTCTTACTCGGTGTTTTTTAACACTCATGTTTCTTTACTGATTGGTTATTTTTATTATTACTAGTTAAAGCAGAAGTACTAATAGTACAGTTTGTACTGATGCCTTTTGATTTGTGGGCATAGTTAAAAAAAATTGATTATCTTTGTGATTGAAGATAAGTACATCTTTTCTAAGACATTTTAATGTTTAGATATCCAGATAACAAAGTTACACTGTACTGGAGCCAGTTACTGAACATTTAAGTTTCTTAGGCATGCACCCACATATGTACTAATACAGAGTACAGAGCAGAGCATAATACACTAATACAGAGCATGTACAGAGCAGTTAAATGATGGGTAACAATCAGTAAGAAGTTGCAATCTTCCTTACAACAATATGTCAGTCAAATAACGTTCATAGGAAGTCGACTAAACACTAAACACACTAAACACAGATCAAACCCAAATTAAAATTAGGAAAGCAACAGGTTCTGAAGCTGATATTCAGAATCTTCACCTCTAACCCCTCAACACTATGGAATGAGTTTGACAGGAGATTTGAACAGAAAAGTCCAACCAGCACAAATACACTCTGGATGATTATTAAGAAATAGCTGTCAACAGGTGGTAATTCACGATGAAGACTGTGTGACAGAATGTCCAGAAATGTTATGTAGGAATTGTGCGCAAATGGGAGTGAAACATTCTATATTCTGCTCTCTGATCAAAAGATTTATTGATGTATTCTTGAAAAATCCTTTCTTCCGTTGCAATTCTTTATGATCATGCAGGTAACTAATTGATACGAGAACTGACAGGCAAAAAAAAACATTTGAAAGAAAAGGGATAAAAAAACATTTTCAAGGCTTAAATCAGTTAATGCACTCTTTTGACCACTCCTGACTAGAAACATGAAATTATTTTCAGATAATCTTTCAAGCCTGTAACATACTGGATCTGTTTATTTTAATTAGAGATAATTAGTCAACATTTTTTTATGGCATGGTACATTTGGAATGATGATGGTTACAAATGCTACAGAAGAATCCTGTTTTTTTTATTTTAACTTCATTTTGCTTGAATCGGAAAACTATAAACAAAGATTATATCTAAATTATGTGTATTCTGAAACAGCAGTAAACATTTTTAATTACTGAAATTTCTTACTGGTATATAAATAGTACAAATTATCAAGGCATAGACTGAAAAAGTCAGCCTGCAAGAAAATAAGCTGGATGTTCAACAGAAATTTCTGGCCAACGCTTCCATCCCACCAAAAAACTGAAAATGTCTCCCCCTGCTGGTCTGTTATTGAAATTGACATACCCGATAAAATAATTTCTCTGTCCATTCACTATTTTTTTGTTATTTTGACTGCAGAGCCAGGGAAATAAGGCTTTAAGATAGAATACTTTTTTTAATATTTCAGATTTAATTAACTGACAAGGCATATAAGGATCAAAAGACTTGTAGGAAATGTCAGTAAATAGTTTTCCTGGTACTCAGCAGGTAAATGAGTAAGATACTTACTACTTTCCTATCTCTCCTCTTATAGTCTATGTGCATGTCTTGGTGTTTCTTCAGAGTCACCTCCAAGGCTTTCTTCCAATCTATCGCTTGTTTGAGTCGGTCGTCATTCACCCCCGCTTTAGTAAAGACCTAAAGTGGAAAGTGTTATACTTGAGGCGTTTTTAGAAATAAGGCACTTCAACAAGATAAGGAGTAATCATAGGGCCAGAGGACCCTAAGAATTTCTACTGATGAAAAGTCATCACAATCCTCATTAATATAAGGCCCCATCTCTCACATACAGAAGGTAACTATCATATACAGAAACTATTTCAGTTGGAACAAATAATAAGTTTATTCCATGCTGAAAAGAGAAGAAAGGCAATGCAATGTTTTGGCTGTGGAGCCTTTTTCGGGTGGCTCCACAGCCGAAACATCGTTTCCTTTCTTTTCTTTCTTAGGTTTTCTTAGGTTCCCTTGCAGCCTAAGCATGCTGACACAGCTCCCTACTTAAACTTCTTCAACTTTGTTTCAGTTGGCATTTCCAAAGGGCATCTAACAGAGTTGGGCCAGGAGGTCCATTTTATCTGTAGGTTTATTCAGTCTCTTCAAAGCACCGGCACAAAAAAAAACTGGGAGAAACCATTATACATGTCCTAGTTGATTCAGTAATGAGTTGATTTAGGTTGTTCAGAGCAGAAGAAAAACAACTGAAACACCTCCTTCTCAGGACCAGGATTGCCCATCCCTGATCTTACAGAAGTATAAGTATACTTTATGAAAACTTTTTAACTATATAAAGTAGGGGTACTCCAGGAATCATCCATATTCACTCTAATATGATTTTCATTCTTTTTCCTATTATGTTCTAGGAATCATCTACTCTGGTAGTTAGGAAGGGGGGCATGAACAAGTTAATTAATTAATCCAGTATAAGAGAAAATAAATAATTAGAAAGAAACATTTCTAGCAAACCCATGTTTTTCTTTTCTTAAATTGTATGGACTTTCTGTTTATGCTACACACAGCACTGTGTAGTGATGCACAGTTCAATAGACAATTTTAACAGTACCTGGACCCAGGACAAGACTGCAGGCAGGTGTTTTGTAGTGATGAGTCGGTGTAAATCCCTTATGGTGTTGATTACAGCATCATTGTCCTCAGTCTCCTGCACTTTCAGATCTGGAAATGTTTAATGAAAATGACAAAACTATAAAAAAAACACCACTCTGCACACAAGCTTCCCCAGTCAGCAGAATATTCTCAATGAAGTTAGTATTTTCTCAATAAAGATCATTTATTAGGATTAGGCCTATACTAATAAAATGATGTTGTGCTCAAAACAACATTGGTCTAATAATAGAGCTTTATACAGTTACAGTACATTCAAGTTTTAAACAAGCTTATAAGAATCTTAGAGATTTAAGATGGACAATGTCATGTAAAAACTGTAATCTCTGAAAACATGAAAGACCTGAAATCTCTTCAATGAAATACTTATCCTGTAATTCCAGGATTTCTGAGATGCCACAGTAATAGAAAAGTTTAATGGCTTACTGCCACCAAGTTCCAGGATTCTGTAATCTGATGCCCCCTGGTGTTCAATTTCTAAATAACCACGTTGAGGCTGACATTTTAGAGAAGGGAAAACCAAATCTGTAGAGTCACAGTCCAACAGGATTTACAGCTCAGCCTTAATTCACTAATTGTAAACACTTGGAAATTAATTTCCTTTTTCCAGCAATGAGCATATGTAATTCTTGAGAACTATAAGGCAGTGGATCTTAATTTCACATGAGCACATCTAAGCTTAATTGTACAATTGTTCCAATTGTTAAGAAACCTCTGATTTAAGGGTGACCCATTAAACATAATGTATTATGACTCTCCAGAACTAGGCTCAAAAGACCTTTATCACAATATATAGACCAATGTGTACAATGATATTTATACATCACATATCATATATTCTGCAATTTTGAAACTAAAATGGCTTAGAGACTAATTTCAGAGATTTGCCTCTTCATTCACCTTATTTCCTGTAATGTACACTGAACGTCAAAAGAAACTTGTAACAGAAGAAATTAACAAAGCAGTTCTGAAAATGATAAAACAAACGTTTTGTAGCAGGTGGACTTATCAGTTGGTGAACAGCTATGATGCAGATAAATTAGTCAGATTAATATCCATTTGTAAATGTATGCATCTTGTGTGTGTGTGTGTGGCAGTGTTGCAGTTCTGGTCTTGTGGGATGCTCTCCTATTCTTGTAGAGAACAACCATGCGCCTAATCCCTGGTCTCTGAGCCAAGAGATGCCACGCTTCCTCCCTACTCACCCCACAAATGCTCAACCTGATAAATAATGCCTCCACTTTATATCTGTCATGTTCCCGAAAAGGCTGTTGTTACACTAACAGCAACAGTAGGAGTGTGATCTTGCTGGAATGAAGCAGGACACATGACACAGCCTGTGGTTTGGTAACAATAGAGGAACCAGGTCTTACTAGAAGATGCCATACTGATGCCATGTTGCCAGTAATCACTACAAGTGGACTTAAGTTATGACTAGTGACTTCCACCAGATCATTACCATTGGACCTCCTCATCGATTAGCCTGTCGTACAAAACTGTTCTGCATGTCTGCCCTGTACTCAGTAATGTCCATTAAGGTGGTCTACACAAAACTTTGAACACTAAAGGGGACTAAAAGGGTTCTTTTCTGTATTTGTCTTTCCTGATTTTCAGCAGGTTTGCCTTTCAACAGGTTAAATCGCCTCATCACCTGTGCCCAATCATCTCTCTCACTAATGAGGCAATCAAAATGACACTGAAAATACCAAATCAATGTTCAAAATCTTTATACTTCATTGTTTTAAAAACATGTATGGATAGTAAGTTTCTTCTAACAAAAGTATTTCCATTTATTATGGATAGGATTTATTTATGCTTTATTATGCTGTACCAAAAGCAGTATAAAACAGCACTGACAAAGGAGAAGTATTATTATAAATCAAATAAGAAAGATGCAATTATGTCCAGACAACTTAAAAAAAATGTATTGAAAAAGTTAAAAAAGAAGCAAACCCAACACACCTGTGGAAATATCAAGGGATAAGCTGTACTTATGTGAAATGATGCCCGTGTTTCGAATGAACATTTCTTGGTCCGAGACAGACTCCATATCTGAGTCTTCTTCGCTGTCATCTTCCTTCTCCTGCACACTTGCTCTTGTCCCATTCTCCTGGCCCACACTCCCTTCAGACAAAGACTGCAGGCCTTTGCTGCAGCATGGCTGCTCGTCATCAATGGTAGGGGATTCCTTCCCAGAGTGCACTGCTTGACAAAAGAGCAAAGACGGTCCTGCTGTGTCACTGGCTCCTGGTTCTGGGTTGGCACCTTGCGGGTCAGCAATGCTGAAGTCAAAAGGCTCTGGTATCAGGAGCTTAAGACAGTTCTCCATCTCGGTCAAACAGTCCTGGATTTCTGAGAAGGCCTCTGTTTAAAAAATAAACCTAGTGTCAACACAAGAACCTTTTAAAGTAGAAAGACATTTTTGGACATCTACCTACAAGGTTACTGAGCCTTCACCGTGAAAAATGCTTATTGCCCAAATCCATCTGTTTTATGGATTTGTTTTAATAATGAAATTACAAGTGAGTTTTACCATAGAAATGATCATTAGGATGTGGCTCACAGCTACAGCTCCTCCTGCATGGAGACACAAAAGAACCTGCTGGCACACTTTACTTACACACCCACCTGTGTTCAGTCATTTGTCTATAGATGCATTGCAAGCTCCTAAATGCCTTACAGGAGAGATAGCACTGACTACAGGAGTCACGCATCACCTGCTGACTTCAGTGGCATCATGCAGGTCCCCAGTGAGTCATCGAAGTCAATATTTTGCCAAATACTGAGGACACTAATACCCAATGTACATCAGTAACAGGCTGACAATTGTGCTCCTCATTTAGAAAACACCAATGACAGCTAGGAAAAGTATTAGTCTTTAAAAAAAAACAGGAAAAAAACAGCTGTTATGAATTGCTGCCAGTAACCACAGACAAATACACTAGAGTAACAACAAAGTAAAGAAGTACTTGCAATGCTTCAGAGAAGTCAGGATAAAGGACTAAAACAATTTAAAATGTCTTGCCTTGCATTTCCCTTTCAGCCCTTTTGACTTTTTCATTATAAATCCGTTCTAGTCTCCTCTGTCTTTCTTCTTCCCTTTTCCTCTCTGCAAGTGTTCTGGCTTGCACATCCTGAAAATCCACCTTGGAGAAAAAACAAAGTTTCACAATTCTTCACAGAAAGTGGAGTCTCACATGCTTGCACTGCTATCTTGGCTGAAACTTTTAAGATTTTCAGTAGTACTTCGGAGTTAGGTTCTATAGTCATTAAATACAGAAAAAATCCCTCCCCAGAAATAGAAAGACAAAATATAATTATTTTCATGACGGAGAATGTTGTTGTGGACAGTTTCAAATTATTAATAAACATATTTGTTGAGGAAAGTGTAGTTTGGACAGTTCCAGAAGCTAAAATTCCCCATTCAAAATTCACTAAATATTTTAGACCAAATTATATACAGTAAAACTTTACCTAATGACAATAATCACATTTTAATACATTTGAAGCTTAGGGAATCTCTTATGTTCTTATTACCATCTTTGTGGGATTTCTCTCTCTACTGGTAAAAATGGTAACAGCATTACAACTTTCTAAATTGATAGGAAACTAAGGAATAGCTGATAGAGGTATGTATTTCCACTGCAGAGATGAGATTCGAAAATGAGCTATCATTTATTAAGGTGGAAATTCTTACCTTTTTGACCTGCTTAAGGAAGTGGTATCCCAGAGCAAGTTTTTTGTAGGCTTCTCCATAACTGCTCTGCCATTCCTGCACTGCCTTGATGGCCATAGTCTTGAGCTTCTGGGCTACTTCCTTAGGAGGAGGCAGGGGCTGGTCTGAGGGGTCTGTTTCTACAGTCAGCTCCAGAAACTGCTGGAAGTTGTTAACGAGTAGTGTCCTGAAGTGGTGTGAACGGGTGAAGAGCTCACTGGCAATCTGGAAAGCAGAGAGACGGATCTCCGCGTGTTGCTGGCTGAGCTGTGTCATGATCAGGTGGTAAACATGATCGATGTATTCATCGGAAGACCTACAAATAAAAACGAAAAGGGAACAATTTTCCTGAATGGCCTCTCACTTTGCTTCCAGTTACAATCCAAAGTTTTTGAAAGTGTTTTAAAGATGATCAAATTTAGAGATTTGATTATCTCAGCAGTTAGACGGGTCATTCCTCCTTATTTATATGTGCTCTCCTGATATTTCCCCAGCTTTTACTCAAAGGCCTTGAACATAATTATGTTTTTATATATACCACTGTATCAAGTTTCCTTATATATTGTATTTCTTTTACCAATGTTACCACTTTAATTTACGCGACTTCCACTTTATTATGCTTCTTTTTTGCAGTCTAATTCTTGCATTCATCTCAGACTTGCATTGAGGTGTACTACATTTCACAATCACAAGGCCCCACTTACTAAAGTACATTACAGCATCTGTCCCTGTGCTCCACACAGTATAAAGAAGCTCAATACTGGAACAAGTTCAATACGTCTTCGAAAGAAAGGCACTTAGATTAACAAACCACAAATTTTGCTGAAAACTCTCAACCAATCCAATGGAAAAAAAATATATGAAAACAAACATTGTTCATTGATGGTGCTCTTCCTTACACAAGTTTTTTCAGAGATCTCCTGTTCCTTGAGCTTTTTCCCTTTTTAAGCCAATAATTAGAACCCCGTCTGAGCCACAGAAACAGGTCAATAATACCCACAACACAAAAAAAGGAAAATAGTTCATACTTGCATATTTTCTTCACCTCCTTCATCTTAGCTGGGTTCAGCTGAGGTTCCCCAGAGGTGGTCAGCTCTTCCACCAGGTCAGAGAGCTGCTCACGCTGCTCATGATCCATCTCTCCAGACTGCAGCTTCCAGGGAGAGAGAAAACACACCTTGTCTGACAATCTTGGAGCCTCGAAGAGAGGGCATAGACCAGGGGTGGCCATCCCTGGTCCTGGAGAGCCGCAATACAAATCTCATTATCACCCTTATATCAATTTGTAAACACGTGGAACATGGCGTTTTCATCAGTTTATTAAGTTAATGGGTCACATTAAGTCAAGAATTGACACCTGTGATTCTAGAGAGCTACAGAGTGGAGGGCTTTTCATTTCATGTGATTGCTACACAGCGTATTAAAACAATTTACCTGTTTTAGTGATCAAAACGCATAAATGTAAACTTGTTCCACGTGTTTAGAAATTGTTAACTTAAAGATAATCAATTACAACTGCTGGACTGTGGCTCTTTATGGGCTCTGTAGGACCAGTAATGGTCAACCTTTAAACTACATTTTCCCCCATTCTAGAATAGCCATTTCCTACAGGATAGGTCAAGTTACTTTTTCATACCTTTCCTTGAACAACCTCTGGTAACAACATCTCTGGCAGTTAAATCGACTTATTCCCCAAAGCAGGCTTTTGGGCTGCTGTTAGAAAGATGCCTAAAGGAAATCCAGCACAATGCATACAGCTGATATGTATACATTTACTGAGACAGAGTGAGACTATAGCAGATGATGAAAATTTGTCAGTTATGCCAAATTAATGCCTATTGTATAAAGAAAGTGTTCTGTTGTAATTTGATTGTTAAGTTTTTAATAGCTGTAAGTTACTGTAGTGTTCTACTGCATTTTAGACAACCAAAGTAAAATTAAAAACCTTATTGTTTTACTGTAATTGTACAACTTCAATTAACTGCAACAAAACAGCCTGGGTTGATTAGCCCTTATTTTTTAGATCTTTAAGTCATATAAGGCTTATGACACTAAGTACTTTTTGCTATATAGCTTTAAGATACTATTTTGTAAATCAAAAGCACACATTTCATCAGTAATGTTCGTTCTTATGCTTGCTCTCAGGAGACTTTTTTGCATACCTTAATGCTGTATCTTGTTACGACCAACAGTCGTTAACTGTGTAGTACTCCTGCCCTGTGTTAAGAGTCGGAAGCCCCTTGATACTCTAAAGCGCACCGCAAAATGCCTTACATTCTCTGTAAGGAATAATTTGTATCTAATGAAAACATAGAGCGATTTGTTTCAGTTTTAGTTATTCGGCGAATTAATGGAGCATCATTTAGGTGTTTCTAAATTTGTACTTGTCCCTGCCTACTGTGTCCAAATATGACATCCGCGACATTATACAAGGCTAGAATACATACACAAATATTTTATTTACAAAAAAATATATCTAAATGCCCGAATCATTGCTGAAAGCAATATTGCAATAAAATACACAGAGCACTCCTGAACCAGGTAACGCGTATTACAAACATGTTCTAACTTATCCAGATACGTCTCTGCAACCGAAAGTGATCGGTTTGATTGAAGTCCTAAGGAACCAATCACAAAAGCCAAAGAATGCTGACAGCCAATCAGAAACTAGAAAGAGGACTTCCGCGCACATCAAGTTCCCAGCGTTGTATAACACAATACAGAAGTGGTATCAGGAAGCTATGACATTTTATCATATAAATTAATACATTTAAAGATATACTGTTACGGAAAATAATTTGTTACTTTAATCTGTTTGTCGTCTGCTTTTTCTAAACCCCAAAAGTACATGCAGAGCAAAAAAAGAAGAGTAAAATTACCCAGCACTGTCAGTGGGTCCAATGAGTGTTCTTTGTTGCAGCTCACAATTAAAAAAAAACGAGTTTAATGTCCGTCTCATTGAATTGTGGTGATGTGGCAGCCTTTATTGCCTGATATTTATAATAAGGGAAATAAATTACATTTTCCTTTTCAGCACCAGTATGGAAAAAAAACAACTATTTTGACGCCAGAAGCGGAGACTTTGAAAACCTGAGCCTTACGGTAGCTAAACTACCAGACAGTAACCGTGGGTCGCCCTCTACAGGCCATAGTAGGTAGATGTATAGTGTTCACAACAACAAACGGGAAACCGTTTTAGGCGTTTTAACACTAAAATAATGTATTTTAGTAATGGAGAAACCCCTAACGCCAATAGCTTTATTATCTAATTATTTAAAATAATATTAAAAGCCACAGATACATATCTTCCACCATTAATCTGTTACTAGAACCTAACTGCTTTGTCACAGGGATTTGTTACCTGGTTATTTGCATTTTATAAGCATGAAGGCTCAATTTGGTAAATGTTCAGAATTTTGAGTTTTAAAACTAATTGTAAGTTTCAGATGCGAGAGGGTGAAAGGTCGTGGTGACGACACGGGAAGGGGAAGAGTTAGGCGGGCGGGAGTGTGTTAAGCAAGGAGAAGAGTTAAGAACATCGGGCGAGTGCGCCCCAGAACGATTATAATACAGTTCACCAAGAGGACGGTGAGGGATATGCTGTGGCCAGCGGCGAGGGGGAATGAGTATTTGAATGAGAACAAACTGAGGTTTGCAGAGGACCTGTTCGCCGCGGACAGGAGCACCAGGAACCAGCTGTGGCCCCAGGTTGAAGCTGCCAGACGAGAGGGGAGGAGAGCCTTCTTTGTGGGAGCGAGGGCCTTTGTGGACGGGAAGGAGATTCGCTCCCTGTGACTGCTCAGTTAATGATTATGTTTGGTTTTATTTGTTATAGCAGGATATACTAGTGTTTATTTAGTGTTAGTTTGGAATGTTGTAGTTATGGATTAAAGACTGTTATAGTTCTGGTTCTTTGAAAAACTCAATTATTAGAGACAATCTTAGTTTCTAATAATTAAAATAATCTCTGCTTTTGTGTATGCCCTTTTCATGAATGCCAGAGGTACTCGAAATGTTGTAAAAAAACGTTTTTTTTAAAAAACAAAACTGAGTGCTGAGTTTAATTTTTACAGGAAACGCATGCATGTTGAAACACTAAATTCTATTAATAATTGAGAAATAATAAAGCAAGGAAAACATGATATATGTAAAAAAATACAATTTGATCACATAATTACTTCATTACCTCTGGTGGTTAAATGCTTTTTTCTGTTGCGTTTTTTTTCTCTTGGACCCGGTTTTTGTTCTTTTTTTTTTTTTTTTAATTTTTTTTTTTTTATTAAAAAAATGTAAAAAGAGTTAAGCTCTTTTCAAACAAAAGACGGAGCACTTGATCGTGAGTGGACAGTTATCGAAACGTACCGAAAGCGGTTTTTAGACAAGTTCAATATTCAGCCACTTTACAAACTTATTTGAATGCCCGTCCACATCAAGCTTATGAATGACAAGTATATGCAGCAACTTTAACCAACTTGCTGAATGAGGCTTTTACAACATAAGGTTCCGAAGCAAAACGGTGTGACATTTTTTACAGATTTGTGGCTGGACTTGACTCCTCATTGCAACTCAAAAAACATGAAAACGGGGCAGTAAATCTGCAGAATGCACTGCAAATTGCCACACAGTACGAACAAGCCCAGTTAGCTTTTCATATTTCTGCTCCAGATTCTGTTATGCCAGTTTGAATTGTTTCACCACCAAAGCCTAGGCCAAACTCTTCCTTGGGTATTAGTGAATTAACTGCTGCCATTTCAGAACTAGGCTCAGACATGAGTGAAATACGCCAACTCCACTAGCACCAGCCTGGTGACAGGCAGGACCGGCTCACGGAACAGGTAGCACACCTCCAGAGCACTGTCTCAGGACTTGCGTACCAGCCACACCATGCGTGTGCTGTGATTGAGGGATCTCATCTCATGGACCATCTTCCACTATCTTGGTGAGAGGCTGACTGCTCAGGATGACTATCCCAGGACCGCCAGCCACGCCTAGATCATCACCACTGCAATCCTGCACCCGAGAGCGTCTGCCATCATCACCCTGATTATGAGGTACGCTACTTGTCCTGCTCTCCACCACCTACCCACCACCATCAACGTACTGGACGCTCTCCTAGCCCTTTTCCATCACGATCCAATGAACGGCACCCACGCACTCGCCAGTCATCGCCAGCACGACGTGTACACTTTGCTTCGGCAGCTGGTCTCCGAACACCTCGTCTCCCAGAGACCTTCAGGGAAACTACTAGCTCCTGGTATTGAGGACCAGATACCAGCGTGTACCAACAACTTGGTCCAAACTGACAGCATTATGGGTCCATCAGTAATTCCCACACCCTTTATTCAAATTGTTTTGTGGGGAATGGAAATGAAGGCTCTTGTTGATACTGGGTCTAGTGTTTCTATAATTGCAGATGAATGTCCTAGGTCAGTTCCTTTGTTAAAGTCTCAGCCCCTTGTTAAATCTTTTACTCTTGCTTCATCTATGATTGGGCACTTTCTATATGTTAGGCACGGGTCATGGCTCCCTTACACATTGCACATTACTCCCTGTCTCAAGTCTTCCACGTCACACGCACTGCAAGCCACCCTGTTATTTTAGGATGGGACTACCTCACTAAGCACCACGTGACGATTGATTTATCTGACTGTCATATAGTGTTTTATGACAACATCCTACCCCTACTACCAGCACATGAGTTCACTCCGGTGCAGTGTGCGGCAGTGGTAGCCTGCGTTGTAATGGTCCCACCAATGTCTGAAATGACAATTGCTGTTGCCCTCTAAGGTAATGGAGCGAGTCCCAACCATCACAGCCCATACCTCGGTCTTCTAGAACCACGTCTGGCCTCTTCTAAGGGACTTGCAGTAGCTAGAACACTATTTCGCGTCTCCAACAGCAGAGCGGTGCCTTGTATCATTAACCCCTCAGAGCAGCTTGTGTCTCTTGAGGTAGGCTGCTATTTGGGCCTTTTGTTTTCTATCATGAGCCGCCCTCATGAGGAATATGCCCTTGTGTCAGCTGTCATCACCCCATCTGCTGCAGATGCAACACTCCCTGATGTGCAATTAGATGCTAGTTTATTTGTAACAGAGAAAACCCAACTTGAATGTCTATTACGTGAATTTCATGACATTTTCAGTTCTCGCCCATATGATTGTGGCAAAACTGACTTTGTCACACATCGCATCAGAACAGGCAATGCTGTGCCAATCAAACTGCGACCTTATCGTGCATCACCTGCAACACTAGCTTTACTACAACAGGAGATAACAAAACTCCTGGAAAACAACATCATTGAAGAGTCCCACAGTCCCTGGTCGGCCCCGGTTGTGTTAGTACATAAGAAAGATGGCACATATCGCTTTTGTGTAAACTATCAACGTTACAATGCTGTCACTATTAAAGACTCACATCCGCAGCCTGACCCTTCTACAATCGACAACATTGCTGATTGGCCATTATCCTAGTCTCCTACTCAGGTTTGACCATTTTTAGGCCTCTGCTCATATTACCGGTGGTTTATCAAGCAGTTCTCCTACATAGCTGAGCCTTAACAACGCCTCACTCACAAAGACGTACCCTTCCAGTGGTCTACAGAAGCTAATGGTGCTTTTCAGGTCCTAAAGCACACCCTCACAACTCCACCGACTATGGCCTTTCCTGATTGGTCATCCCCTTGTTGTACACCAATGTATCCCTGCGGTGCTGGCACAATGCCTGCATGGCAGAGAACATGTGATCTTGTATGCGAGCCATACACTCTCTGCAGCGGAAAGGAAATGGTGATGTCGTCTATTCAATGCCAGTCCACCTCAGGCCTCCCCATCACAGGTCACATTTGTGTCGGTAGCTTCACAAACTATGTCATCTAATCCGCATCACCATTCAGCACACTTTGATCTGCACCGCGGTACCATCAATCTTGTAACCTTGGCATCTAACGCCACCACCCACATTAGCAGAGGTTTTACCCCTTTCTTTCTCGCACGGTCGTGAGGCCTGAGTGCCTCTCCGTGCCCTTCTGGCTGATACCAACACAGTTTGTAACCAAACATTATAGAATTTAAAACATTTGCAACAGCTTTTATCAATGGCTTTGATAATTTCCCACTCCTACATTTTAGTTTTGGGAACATATCAAAATCCGATGCCTAGAGAGGTGCAGATATAGATCGCAGATATTCTTAGTTGACACCGCAGCTAGGTTTAGGGTTAGCATTCACACACTACTTAGAACATTTTTAAGCTCAGCGCAGGATTTTGGGGCCCAATTCAGTTGTAGGACGAGTGGTTTTGCACGGTGCACTTCGCGGTAATTGTGTCCCGAAACTGAGTTGATCTAATCAAGAGCTGTTACCAAAAATGATTGAAACTCATTTAATTACAAGAGCTTTGATAAGCAGTTTTGATTGTTTCCCACTCGTAACTGATCTAAAATCACCCCAAAATCTGA